TAGTGATTAATGATTCATACTCTGAATGGTCTAGGGTTGTCAGTGGTGTACCCCAAGGTTCAGTGTTGGGATCCTTACTTTTTAATATATTTATAAACGATATAGGGTCTGGGATTAGAAATCCCATTTCAGTCTTTGCAGATGACACCAAACTTTGCAGTGGAATAACGTCCTTACAGGATGTCTCCAAGCCGACCTCAATGCACTGTTTATTTGGGCAACTATGTGGCAAATGAGGTTTAATGTTGATAAATGTAAGGTTATGCACTTGGGGGCTAAGAATATGCATGCATCATACATACTAGGGAGGGTACAACTGGGGGAATCAATGGTGAAGAAGGATCTGGGAGTTCTGGTAGATCACAAGCTGAATAATAGAATGCAATGCCAAGCTGCGGTTTCTACAGTGAGCAAAATCCTCTCTTGTACTCCAGAGAGAGAGAGATATCATTTTACCCCTATACAAATCATTAGTAAGACCTCATCTGGAATATGCAGTTCAGTTTTGTGCACCAATTTACAAAAAGAACATTGGGGAACTGGAGAAAGGGCAGAGAAGGGCAATCAAACTGATAAGAGGCATGGAGGAGCTCAGCTATAAGGAAAGATTATAGGAACTGAATTTTTTCTCTCTTGAGAAGAGGAGACTAAGGGGGGATATGATCAACATGTATAAATACATCAGTGGTTCATATAGTGAATTCGGTGTAGAGTTATTCACCCTGAGGTCATCACAGAGGTCAAGGCGGCACTCTTTATGTCTGGAGGAAAAGAGATTTAATCTCCAAACATGGAAAGGTTTCTTCACAGTAAGAGCTGTGAAAATGTGGAATAGACTCCCTCAAGAGTTGGTTCTGGCCAGCTCAGTGGATTGCTTTAAGGATTGTTTCCTAGATACACATAATATAACTGGTTACTAACATTTAAAGGTAAAATTGATCCAGGGAATATTTGATTCCTCTCGGGGGATCAGGAAGCATTTTTTTGCCCTGCAGGAGCAAATTGCATTATGCTTTGCTGGGTTTTTTTTGCCTTCCTCTGGATCAACTGTGGGTATATGATTATAACTTTTTTTTTTGGTTGAACTAGATGGGCTTTTGTCTTTTTTTTTTCAGCCAGACTAACTATGTAACTTTGTAAAATTTATTGGCTCCTTAGCGGATAGGGATACACTTATCATTTATTTATAACATTTATATACATTCTATATATTATTATTATTATTTTTGTACAGGATTTATATAGCGCCAACAGTTTGCTCAGTGCTTTACAATATAACGGGAGACAATACAGCAGAAATACAGTTCAATACAAGAAGGTAAGGAGGGCCCTGCTCCTTGGAGCTTACAATCTAAGATTGTAGTATAATGAACACTTTTGGTTCATTATACTAGTCATCATTGGACATGGCACATAGGAGCCCATTATATGCCCCCACATTTGTCACTCTGTGTTGGGTATTTCTTTATGTTGTTTATTATTATTTTTAATAATCCATTGTTTATTTATTAATTGTTTTACTCTTTATTTACATCCATTTCTATGTACACTCATTTACATTAAAATGTAATTTATTTTTTGTGTATTTACAGTATACACTATATTGCCAAAATATTTGGACACCCATCCAAATCATTAGATTCAGGTGTTCCAAACACCTCCATGGCCTCCATGGCCACAGGTGTGTAAAATCAAACACCTAGGCATGCAGACTGCTTCTACAAACATTTGTGAAAGAAAGGGTCGCTCTCAGGAGCTCAGTCAATTCAGTTGTGGTACCATGATAGGTTGCCACCTGTGCAATAAGTCCATCTGTGAAATTTCCTTGCTACTAAATATCCCAAGGCCAACTGTTGGTGTTATAACAAAGTGGAAGTAACTGGGAACAACAGTAACTCAGCCACAGAGGGGTAAGCCATGTAAAATGACATAGCGGGGTCAGAGCATGCTGAAGCGCACAGTGTGCAGAAGTCACCAACTGTCTGCAGATTCAATAGCTAAAGACCTGCAAACTTCATTTGGCCTTCAGATTAGCACAACAACAGTGCGTAGAGAGCTTCATGGAATGGGTTTCCATGGCTGAGAAGCTACATCCAAGCCTTACATCACCAAATACAATGCAAAGCATCGGATGCAGTGGTGTAAAGCATGCCGCCACTGGACTCTAGAGCAGAGGAGCCGTGTTCTCTGGAGTGACAAATCACGCTTCTATGGCAAACTGAGGTTGCCAGGAGAATGGTACTTGCCTGACAGGATTGTGCCAAGTGTAAAGTTTGGTGGAGGGGGGATTATAGTGTGGGGTTGTTTTTCAGGGGTTGGGCTTGACCCTTTAGTTCCAGTGAAGGGAACTATTTAAGGCGTCAGCATACCAAGACATTTTGGACAATTTTATGCCCCAACTTTGTGGGAACAGTTTGGGGATGGCCCCTTCCTGTTCCAACATGAATGCACACCAGTGCACAAAGCAAGGTCCATAAAGACATGGATGAGTGAGTTTGGGGTGGAAGAACATGACTGGCCTACACAGAGTACTGACCTCAACCTGATAGAACACCTTTGGGATGAATTAGAGCGAAGACTGCAAGCCAGGCCTTCTCATCTGACATCAGTGCTTGACCCCACAAATGTGTTTCTGGAAGAATGGTCAAACCTTCCCATAGACTCACTCCTAAACCTTGTGGACAGGCTTCCCAGAAGAGTTGAAGCAGTTATAGCTGCAAAGGGCGGGGCCAACTCATTATTGAACCCTACGGACTAAGACTGGGATGCCATAAAAGGTCCCAGCTCTGTTTATTCACCAACTCAGAACTTGAACTTTTGTTTTATGTGCATTGTTAATTGAGGGGAATGAATAACAGTGGGTATATGTCAGGGCTGGGTTCCTGCTACTTACAGCTCTTTTCTTTCAGTGCTCAGAGGCTGCTCAGCTGTCGGTTAATTACTAGCCACTCGTCTCTACAGTGACTCACCTGGATACCATTACCTGCCCAGTTAGTCCAGTCTACAGCCAGCCCTTTTGCTATTTTAGCAGCTTAGATTATTTCCTCCTTGCCCTTGTATGTCCTGTAATCTCCAGTATGTTCCTTTGTACAATTTGGTCTGGCTTACTTCTCTTCCAATTCCTGTTCCTGATATTTGGCTCCTGACTACACTGACTTCTGGTTTCCTGACCCTGGCTCGTCTGATTACCCGCTCTGGCATCCAAACCCTGGCTTCTGTTTTGACTAAGTTCCTGAACTATGTTATTTTTGCTGTTTCATTAAAGGTGTGATTTTAACTGCACTTTCTGTCTCTACCTGGTTCATGGTTCCTGACAGTATATAACTTGTATTTTAGTAAATTATCTAGTGGGTTCAGCGGTTCTTGTTCTTAATATTGTGTTGCATTGGGCAAAAAAGGAGGTTAATTATACACAGATCGGAAGTTTCAGACTCAGATGTTATTTACAAGTTGCCTAGGACACAGAACAAGAAACTATTTATAGCACAATGCTTCTTATTTCCCTCCTTCCTTTTAGAAAGTCCCTATTGGATGCAACATCAGGTGGGTGGTGCAGTGACATCACCACGTTAAGCAAATCACAGGGCGGGTCCGAAGCTGTTCACCTGTAAATGTGAGGCCACGTCCAAATACTATTTTGCAGTAGTGGAGTAGACACTGGGGATTCACTGGAAGTGGGTTTCTGTGATTGCTGTGAAGATATACATCACAAATAATTGGACTGATGCAATTTACCTTCGCACACAAAATGTTACCCTATTATGCACGATTTATTGAATTTTTAAATTTTTATGAATGGAAAACATGTTGTTGGTATTGTATTTGCATGTAGCACTTTAGTGCATGAAATATTGATCAGATTTGCATAAGTTTGCTGTTTATTTTATTTATATATAATATTTATTTAGTGTACTTTGTGAGATTCATTTGAAAGTATGTGAAAAGCACTGCACTATTTTTTGCAAGTAAACCTAAGATACCAACATTTGGACATGACATTTATTTTGTGCAGTGCACCACAACACACAGCGTGTGTCATTTAAAATGAATAACACATCAATACACACAAGACAGTTGTGTATTTTTTGTGCATTTTGTCTTGTCAACAAAGACATAAATGTAAATGGACCATTAATGTGTCATGTTATTTTTTCCTGAGCTTGTTGCAATATACACTATATTGCCCAAAGTATTAGGATGCCTGCCTTTACACGCACATGAACTTTAATGGCAACCCAGTCTTAGTCCATAGGGTTCAATATTGAGTTAACCCACCCTTTGCAACTATAACAACTTCAACTCTTCTGGGAAGGCTGTCTACAAGGGTTAGGAGTGTGTCTATGGGAATGTTTGACCATTCTTCCAGAAGTGCATTTGTGAGGTCAGGCACTGATGTCGGATGAGAAGGCTCAGCTCGCAGTCTCCAATCTAAGTCATCCCAAAGGTGTTCTATCAGGTTGAGGTCAGGTCAAGTGTGTAGGCCAGTCAAGTTCATCCACTCCAAACTTGCTCATCCATGTCTTTATGGACCTTGCTTTGTGCACTGGTGCGCAGTCATTTTGAAATAGGTAGGGTCCATCCCCAAACTGTTCCCACAAAGTTGGGAGCATGAAATTGTCCAAAATGTCTTGGTATGATGATGCCTTAAGAGTTCTCTTCATTGCAACTAAAGGACCAAGCCCAACCCTTGAAAAAAAAACCCACACCATAATCCCCCTCCACCAAACTTTACACTTGGCATAATGCAGTCAGGCAAGTACCGTTCTCCTGGCAACCTCCAAACTCAGACATGTCCATCAGATTGCCAGACGGAGAAGCATGATTCATCACTCCAGAGAACATGTCTCCACTGCTCTAGAGTCCATTGTCGATGTGCTTTACACCACAGCATCCGACGCTGTGCATTGAATTGGTGATGTAAGGCTTGGATGCAGCTGCTCTGCTATGGAAACCCATGAAGCTCTCTGCGCACACGCCACACGAAGTTTGGAGGTCTTTAGCTATTGACTCTGCAGACAGTTGGTGACTTCTGCACACTGTGGTCTTCAGTATGCACTGACCCCACTCTGTCATTTTACGTAGCCTATCAATTGGTGGCTGAGTTGCTGTTGTTCTCAGTTGCTTCCAGTTTGCTATATTACTACTAACAGTTGACCATGGAATATTTTAGTAGCAAGGAAATTTCACAGATGGACTTATTACACAGGTGGCAACCTATCACAGTACCACGCTTGAATTCACTGAGCTCCTGAGAGCGACCCATTCTTTCACAAATGTTTATAGAAGCAGTCTGCATGCCTAGGTGTATTTTCTACACCTGTGGCAATGGAGGTGATTGGAACACCCGAATCCAATGATTTGGATGGGTGTCCCAAAATGGCTGTAGTGTATTGTACTAATAAAAGCACAATTTAAAAAACAAATTTTTGAGGTCCCCTATATTTACTTAGCTGACCACCACTCCTTAAATTAATTATATCATTGTTTTTTTAATTAAAGAGATAAAGTGCTATCTAGATTATTCACTGTGTCAACATCAGCGGAAAACTGACATATTAATTTAGGTGGGTTTATCATTGAAATTTCCAAATAATTAAACTTCTGGGAGGTTACAGTTTCCATCTACACTCATTTTACCCCAGTCTCTATGAAATGCATTGATGTACAGTTTTCAACTTTCCCTTGCCTCACCATATAACTCATTTTGCCTAAAGTTCATGTGGAAATAATTCCCCTATAGCCCACAAATTTTAGCGGACGCAAGGGAGAAATGCAACATTTGATAAACATGAACATCCACTGGACTTTCACTCTTTATACCACTGCCAATAGACTTCAATAAATTTCATACAGCCGACTTACACTCACTGAGAGGATCTCTAAGGGATCAAGAAATGAACACAAGGGCATGAAAGTATATATGTAACACATGTCGTCAACAGTCGAGAGATTGTTTAATTAAATGCTTGGCAACTACTGGAATATGAAACATATTTTCAGGTTCTTTATACACAGTACCCACAATATAAACTGATTAAAAGGATTCTCTAAAGCCAAGTTTGGAAACAAAACTATTTGGGACTTTGATCTGTATCATATCTATAATTCTTTTTGCACCGGATTGCTTGTTCAAATAAAGATTAAGTCACTGATTAAGTCATCTAAAAATGTTGTAAGATTTAATATGAAAGAGGTTTGTTAGAATAACATACCTTTATTTAAAGTTAAACTCTAAGCACACAACTAAATATACAGTTGAAATAGAAATGGGCAAATAGTTTTATCTGCTGATATAATTGCAATTCTGTTCAGCTAGGCATTTGAAAGCAAGGTCCTCTACTTCTCTGTCATCTGCATTTTAGTAATACATGCTCCTAGTTTTTTGTAAGCAATGAATTTCAATCAAATTAATGTACCTTTCCTGCAGCTTCCCCAAACTTGCACACTGAGTTTCTGGTCACAAGACAGTGAAGGCATCTGCAGCTCTCCATCTTGAAGGACAGAGGAACAGGGGAAAGGCTTGCTGTCGTACTCTTCATGCCGGTGAACTTGAGGCACACAGTTCCCATCTGGCACAGAAGTCACAGAAGACAACAGGAAAGCAACACCAGCAAACAGGAGATTAGCTGAAACACAATGGAAAAGCCAAGGATTAAAATTTTTTAAATGGGGCTGACAATGTAAGTGTTTACTGAAAATGATAACATTTTAGAGCCCAATCCAGAAGCTTCACTTCCCCCATCTCAAAAGCTGACACAGCTTTATAAACTCCATAGTGTCAGGAATGGACTCAGCACTGGTGGTGGGACTCACCTGCCGTGTTGGCTGCAGTACCAGGGCTGACCAGCGGGTGCTCTCAGCAGCCAGAAGCTCACTTCTGCAGTCAGCCAACACCTGGGGCTGATTACAGCAGGTGTATTTAAGGAATGACCAGGCCTGTGATCTGTGCGTTGGTGTAAATGTTTCCCATGAGCCCTTGTATCCTGTATCCTGTTCCTGTGTTGCTGTAGACTCCGTTGCCGACCACTGCTTGTTACTGATCCTGCTCTTCTCCTGTTTAACCCCTGGCTTGCCTGACTACTCTTCCGTCTGATCCCTGGTACTGTATTTGCTCGCACCCTGCTGAACCTGGCTTGTGACCTGACCATTCTTAGCTCGCTCCTCTTGTACCTTGCTGCCCGCATAATACCGACCCGGCCTGTGTGACCACGCATACCGTACCCGACCATCCATCCATCCATCCGGCTTGGATCAGACCAGTGTATCTGTCTGCCTCTTCCAAATTAGATTCCGTTCCTGCACTCCCCTGTCAGTACTCTCTACCACCTCAGGTCGCACTCGGGGGTCGCGACCTGTTTCCAGTCTGCACCAAGTCCATCCCCACCATCAGGGGCCCTGGTGAACAGCAGGCTGGGACTTAGACCCCGCGCCCTGAGGGCGTCCGTGCGGTGGGCTGCTAGAGACTCTGCCAGGCGGCTTAACACTACCAAAACGGCCTGCCTGACCATTCTACCTCTCCAGCCCTGACTATGCCTGTGTTCTTGAAGCCTGCTACTTCCCTGTGTCAGTCCACACATTTCTGGTCACACCCCGGATCCCTAACACATAGGGGTTTATTTACTAAAGCTGGAGAGTCCAAAATCAGACTCCCTTCTGCATAGAAACCAATCAGCTTCCAGGTTTCATTGCCAAAGCTTCATTGAACAAGCTGAGGTTAGAAGCTGATTGGTTTCTATGCAGAAGGGAGTCTGATTTTGGACTCTCCAGCTTTAGTAAATAAACCCCATAGAGTCTATTAAACCCCTCAAAAGTTGTTTTCTTGGGGTTGTCAACTTTCACGTAATTGTCCTGGATGTAACATGCATACAGGCACGTTAATTCAAATATTATGGCACTGTCCTGAACTTTTATGGGTATTGGAAAGATATATATTGAATTATATCAGATCTTTGCTCAATTCAATTGACTTCTGATCCTAAACTCGTCCTGTTGGGCATATTTCCAGAGGATTGGCCATTATTTTTTCCCAGAAAATGTTATTTACCAGTTTGTTATTTCTCACAGTTGGCTATGTTCTAATCTGTCAACCTATGTTCAATGGTATGCAGCGGTGAATGCTGTGCTGGATAGAGAGTGGCTTCTTTATAAGCACAGAGGTTGTATGAACAAATGTAATAAGATCTGGTCCTCTTGGTTATATTCCTCATATATAGCCTTCACTAGTGTGGATCATCTCCCTGATTCTGTTGATAATGTTGCTGTTCTATGATGGGTCTATGGTGCTGCATTTCATTGGAATACTGATTGTGCTGTGATGTTAAGCATATCTCAGCAATGACTGCTATATACCGGAACAAATTATTATTGTTATACTTTTTTATCTATTTAAAATATTTGATTATTTTTGTTTGTTGTTTTTTTTTTTTTTGCTCAGAATAGGCATTTGTGTTATGTTTTGTCTGTATATGTGTAAGAAAAATTTAAATCTAATAAAAAGTATTTGATTAGCTACTTCCCACCCAGCCTATTGTAAAATGATGGCAGAGTGGGACTTGGAGTGTTCAAGATGGATGTCATATGACGTCCTCCTAGAATGCACCTCGTGCGCGGCTGTGTGGCTGCGCTGGGGCGCTATCTGTCACCGGCTGTGTACATTGGACATTTCTGATGACAGATCACTATATCGGTCCACTACCATGTGATTGCTTCGATCAATGCCATCCATTGTGTACAATTGTGTTGCTAGCTGGGATTAGTCACAGACAGGGACAATCACAGCCCATCTGTACCATGTGATTACCTGTAGACAATCACAGCTATTCACAACAATGCTCACTGAATTAATAAATTTCATTCAGTAAAATAGGCTTCTTATACCAGTGAAATTCACTGGTATAAGCAATTACAAAAATAAAAATCCTGACCACTTCTCCAGAGTAGTATAATGCTACTATGGTTACATTATATTGCTCTGGTCACAGTGTGTTAAAAGTGTTTTTAAAAAAATGTAATAAAAAAGAAAAAAATTGGAAAAAAATTATAACAAATTTTTCTTTTAACATACTGTCACCAGTCAGTGTTTTGATCACCACCACGTACTTTATATGATGATGCTGTACTGCACTGGTGACAGTATGTAACAAATAAATTGTTTTTTTTTTTAATTTCTTCATTTTCCCAAAAAAAATGACAAAACCTACAACTTGCCCTGCCTCTTGCTAAATACCTTGGAATGTCTACTTTCCAAAAAGGGGTCATTTAGGGGATAGTTGCACTGTTCTGACATTTTTTGGACCTCAAGAAATGAGATAGGCCATCAGTACATCTGAATTGATCAATTTTTAGATATATACCATAATTTGTGGACTCTATAACTTTCCTACAGACTAAATAAAAAACACTGATTTGGGGTATTTTCACCAAAGAAATGTAGCAGAATACATTTTGGCCAAAATGTATGAAGAAAGATTATTTATTTGCATATTTTTATAACAAAAATGAAGAACATTTTGTATTGTTTGTTTATTCAGCAAAAAAACAAAAAACCCAGTGGTGATTAAATACCACCAAAAGAAAGCTCTATTTGTGTGAAAAAAATGCAAAAAATGTCATATGGGTACAGTGTTGCGTGGCGGTGCAATTGTCATCCAAAGTGCAGCAGCGCTGAAAGCTGAAAATTGGCCTGGGCAGGAAGGGGGTGAGAATGCCCTTGGAATATTGGTGGTAGTGGTTAAAAAAAAGATGATAAAATTGGTAAAAAAAAAAACGAAGGTCCTGTGGGTTGGAAATTGATTTCTCCCAGGCTTTACACTCTACCGTCACTGCCCACCATCAGGCCCCATTCACACCTGAGCATTTTGTAGCGTGAAACTCAAAGCTCCAAAACACTCAGGCAGAAAAATCAATATTACTCTATAGAGATGGTTCACATCTCCACTCCAAGTCGCCTGTAGCTCACAAAATAGCTCCATTCAGGCAGACTGATGCATTTTTGGCCAATTTTTCATTCCCATAGAATTACATGGAAACGCACAAATCATACATTTTTCATGCACTTTCCCTCATTTTGTCACGCAACCAAGACCATTTTTGTGGCATGGCAAAACATGGTAATAATTGTTGTCACAGATAAAGATTTTTTTTTTGTTGACTAATATAAAAATTCCAGATCTCAAAAAGTCCAAAAATGCCCAAACAAATCACACAAACATTTGCAAATGCACACAAAAATGTGTGACAAAACATGCGAAAAAATGCATAAAAATGCTACGCTCATATGTGAATGGATCCTCGGGCTCTGTT